ATGGAATGTTTTTCCATTTGTTTGTGTCCTCTCTGATTTCCTTGAGCAGTGGTTTGTAGTTCTTGAAGATCCTTCACATCCCTTGTAAGTTGTATTCCTAGGTATTTTATTCTCTCTGTAGCAATTATGAGTGGGAGTTAACTCACGATTTGACTCTCTGTCTTTTATTGGTGTATTGTGATTTTTACACATTGGTTTTGTATCCTAAGACTTTGCTGAGGTTGCTTATCAGCTTAAGGAGATTTGGGGCTGAGACAGTAGGGTTTTCTAAATATACAATTATGTTATCTGCAAACAGAGACAATTTGACTTCTTTTCTTCCTATTTGAATACCTTTATTTCTTTCTCTTAGATGATTGCCCTGGCCAAAACCTCCAATACTATGTTGAATAGGAGTGGTGAGAGAGGGCATCCTTGTCTTATGCCAGTTGGATGGAATGTTCTGTAGATGTCTGTTAGATACGTGTGTTCTGAAGTGTACTTTAAGTCTGATGTTTCCTTGCTGTTTTTCTGTCTGGATGATCTGTCCATTAGTGGAAGTGGGATATTGTAGTCCCCTGCCATTTTTGTATTATAGTTGATCATTCTCTTCAGATGTCTTAATATTTGCTTTATATATTTAGGTATCCTGAAGTTGAGTACATATATATATTATGATTGTTATTTCTTCTTGGTGAATTGACTTCTATATCATTATATAATGACCTTCTTTAACTCTTTTTACATTGCTGACTTAAAGTTTATTTTATCTTATGTATGCATAGCTACTCTTGCTCTCTTTTGATTTCCCTTTGCATGGAATATCTTTTTCCATTTCTTCACTTTCAGTCTATGTGTACCCTTTATAGGTGAAGTGAGTCTCTTGTAAGCAGTATATAGCTGGGTCTTGATTTTTCTAAAAAGCAAATTCATGTACTTTATCTTTTCATTGGAGAATATAATTTATTTACATTTGTGGTAATTATTGATAAGTAAGAATTAACTACTGCCATTTTCTTCATTGTTTTCTGGTTGTTTTACAGATCCATTGTTCCTTTCTTCCTCTCTTGTCATCTTCTTTTGTGATGAAGTGTTTTCCTTTAGTGGTATGCTTTGAATCCACATAATATGCTATTTTAAGCTGATCACACCTTAACTTTGCATACAAAAACTCTACACTTTTACTTTGCCCTCTACTACATCATATGTTTCCGATGTTACAATTTACCTCTTTTAATATTGTGTGTTTCTTAAAATACTCTTGTAACTGTCCAGGTGTGGTAACTCATGCCTGTAATCCCTGAGACTCAAGAAGCTGAGACCAGAGAATTTCTTGAGGCCATGAGTTTCAGACCAGCCTAGCAACATAGCAAGACACCATCTAGAAGAAAAACAATTTTTTTTTTAATTAGCTGGGTGTGGTGATGTATGCCTGTAGTCCTAGGTACTTGGGAGGCTGAGGCAGGTAGATTGCATGAGCCTGACTTCAAAGCTGATTTGCCCTGTGATCATGCCATTGCACTCCAGGCTGGGTGACAGAGTAAGATACTGATTCTTTGGGAAAAAAAATTTGTAGTTCTCATTATGTTTAATAGTTTGTATTTTACTCTTCATACTGAATGTGTAAGTGATTTATACATTACTACTACAGTATTAGAGTATTTTGAATTTGACCATATACTTACTTTTACAAATGAGTTTAATACTTTTATGTATTTATGTTACTAATTAATATCTTTTTCTTTCATGTTAAAAAATTCCCTTTAGCATTTCTTCTAAGCCAGATCTGGTGGTTATTAACTCCCGCAGCTTTTGTTTGAGAAAGTCTTTATTTTTCATTTCTGAAGGACAGCTTTGCTGTCCTTTTATTCTTAGTTGCTAGGTTTCTTTTTCTTTAACTCTTTAAATATTCTATGCTGCTCTCTCCTGTCCTGTAATGTTTCTGCTGAGAAATCCACCGTTAGCCTTATTGAGTTTCCCTTATATGTGATTTGCCTCTTTTCTCTTGTTGCTTTCAGGATGCCCTCTTTGCTTTTTGACAGTTTGATTATATGTTCTAGTGTAGTCTTTTTTGGATTGAATCTGATTTGAGACTTTTGATCTTCTCTTACCTGGCTATTTATATCTTTTCCCAGATTTGGAAAGTTTTCTGTTATTTTTTAAAAACAAGCTTTATACCCTTTTGTCCTCTCTCTCTTATTCTTTAGTTCCTATTATTCAAATTTCTTCTCTACTGATGCTATCCCATAAATCCTTTGTTTTCATTATTTTTTCTCCTCTTACTGTTTATTTTCAAATAACCTGCCTTGGAGTTCACATTCTTTCTTCTGCTTGATCAAGCCTGTGTTGACACTCTGTATTGCATTTTTCATTTAATTCATTGTATCATTTAGCTCCAGAATTTCTGGGTTGTTTTTTTTTTTAATAATCTCAATCTCTGTTAAATGTTTTAATTTCTCATTTTGGTCATTTTTATATTTCAATGAATTGTTTCTCTGTATGTTTTGTAAGTTTGCTAAACCTTCTTAAAACAATTTGAATTCTTTGTCAGGCATATTATAAATCTTTATATCTTTGGAGTTGATTACTAGAGCTTTATTTTGTTCTTTTGATGGGATTGTGTTTCCCTGATTGTTCTTGATATTTTTGCATTGGTATCTGCGTATTTTTAAAAGTATGGGCTTATTCTAGCTTTGCAAACTGGCTTCGTCTCCAAAAGCCCTTTACTAATCAGTCCAAATAGAGATTCTGGGAAGACCATTTGTTGTTGTCTACAGGTAGTCTTGCTGTTGGAGTCTTTGAGCAGGCTGGCCTAGTACCTGGGTCAGCAGGTGGATGGACCTGGTGCCTGGCTGGGTGGAGTTGAGCCTGGAGTCTGGATTCATTGTGGTATACCTGTTGATTGAGTCTACTTGAATAAACTTGGAATCTAATTCCATTAGGGTGGAACTGGAAGCTGTATCTTTATAGGGTGGCCTAAAGCCTGAGTTACAGGGGCTGACTTGGTGCTAGGGTGGGCTTTGCACCTAAGTCTACAGGGGCTAACCAAGTGTTGAGATGGGCCTGGCACCTGGGTCCACTGGGATGAGCTGGAAGTCTGAGTCCTTGAGGGCTAGCCTGGCACTGTGGTGAGCCTAGTACCTGAGACCACTCATGTGGGCAGATAGCCTGAATTCACAGGGATTGGCCTGCAGCCTGAGTCTTCAGGGGTGGTTCTAGAGCCTCGGCCCATTGGGGGCTGTCCTGGGACCAGGATCTACTGGGGCGGGCATGTATCCTGGGTTTTCTGAGGCAGGCCTGGTCCCGAATGCTGCTGAAGCCTTGGGTAACAGAGACTAGCCTTGAGCCTGAGGCTAGTCTGGTGCTGGGGTAGTTGTAGAGCTTGGGTGTGCAGGGGCCAGCCTGGTTCCTGGAGCTAGTGGAGATGGTTTGCATCCTGGGACTGTGGGGCTGACATGGAGTCTGGGTCAGTCAGGGCTGTCCCAGTGCTTGGATCTACTGGGATAGGCCTGAATCATTCATTTGCTGGGGCAGGCCTGGCCCATGGGTTTGCTGAAGAAGCAGTGAGCCACAGGGGCTGGCCTTGATGTGGGCCCACAGGGACTTTGCCTGGCACTGGGCATGCCTGAAGCCTATGTTTATGGGGTCCAGCATAGTGCCTCAGGCCAGGGAGCTGACCTAACAGTGAGGCGGGCATGAAACCTAACACTATATGGGTCTACTTAGCTGTGGGTTAGTCTGAAGCCTGGAGTAGGCCTGGAGTATGAGGCTTCAGGGGCTGGCCTGGCACTGGGCAGTCCTGGAGACTATATCCAGGGGTGTTGGACTGATGAATAGGACTGTGGGGGCTAACCTGGTGCTAGGGTGGGCCTGAAGCCTAGGGCCATGGTGGCCCAGCCTGATGCTGGGGGCAGTCTGAAGCCTGGGGATACTGAGGCTGGCCTAGCCCTGGGTAGACCTGGAGACTGAGTCTACATGTCATGGCTGGATACTGAGTCTGTGGGAGCTAGCTTGATGGTGTGGTGGGCTTAGTGGTTCAGTCTATGAGTACCAGCCTAAAGTCTGGGTCCATGGGGGCCTGCCCAGCAGTGGGATTTACTGAGGCAGCCTGGTGTTGGGGTCCACGGTAATATCTGGTGCTCACGTCCCTCCTCTTCAACCAAGCAAAGGATATCTTTCCATATTGTGCTGCCTGGAGTTGGGAGAGGGTGATGTGGGTAGTATAAAACTGTCTGTCTTACACTATTTAATGTATCATTTCTTATTTCTGTGCTCCATCAAAGTGCTTTAGTCTCTCGCCTGGTTTACTTCACTCTTATGTCAATATTTTTGTGTGTAGGTAGTTGTTCAAATTGATATTTCTGTGGGGAGAGGAGTGCTAGAAGTTCTATTCTACAATTTTGCTCAAGTCTTTCCACTTTCAATCATCTCACTCCATTTTTTAGTGCTTTTTAAGTATGTATCACATTGTCTTATTGCTCCTTGTCTACATCTATTCTGCATACACACACACACACACACACACACACACAACACATTTTGTAACCTTCTTTGGGATGAAGACTTAACTTGAACTTGTAATAAAAATGTACCTCCTTCCTAACTGTAACCACGACCTTCCTTGTAAATTGTTCTACTCACAATTTTAATACATAAAGAATGAGAAAAGGGAAAGTAATCTAAGGAGGGACTTAATTGTGGACAATCAACACAAACTTTTGTTTTATCCTAGTCCAAGTGGTATAAAGCTTACTCTGGGGAGAATAAAAAACATCTGTCTTGGACATATGCTTTGGCCTTGTTTAAAGGACCATGAAACAGTGAATTTTCATTGTCACCCCAGTAGAATTCAGTACTATAGTAGTGACACCAATTTTGGCAAACATGAAACTAGCATCATTACTTTAGGTAGTGTACTGTAAACTTTCTTCATGACAGTATTATAGATGCTATCTGAAGTGGATATGCCAGCATCAACACTTGTTAAAATTGTGGTGACTGGTTCATTGTGTTTTTAACAGCTGCACATAAATCAACTCCTCCTCTGTAATGGAATAGCTAGTGCAGCTACCAACAAATATGAAACAAATTGTAGTTTTCTGATATCTTCAGGTAACTAAAACAGTTTGTCTCTGTTAATAAAGTTAATAAAACTCTCATGAACATTGTGATTTGCTGCATTTGTCACCTTAATCACTATTTCTTGTTGGTCAATAGGAACACAACAGAAACTCACTTCCAGGCCAGAGGATCTTGAAGAAAATATTGACCAGACTTATGTAATTAAAAATAGCTAAAAACAAATTAAAAAAAAGCTAAAAACTTACTCGTCTTTATATCACATACAAGGGTAATTAGCAGCCCACCATAAATCTGCATTCTACGGTGTACTAAGGAAGATATAAAATTAGTAGTTCAGTCTCTAGTTCTGTGAAGTGAGAGACAATATAAAAAATGAACATCTATATATTTCATAGCTCAATAAGGTGATAGAGACTGAAAGTTCTTGGAGAATATAAATTAAGGAGAGGTCCTTAAGATATAGGGCTATTCCCAAAAGGATTTTTTTAGTCTTGCTAGGCTATTTGCTATCCCACCCAAATCACGTTTGCCATAGTTTGGGATCTACCCTTTCCTGCTACAATCAGTAACAATCTCTGACAGCTTTGCAGATGTTACAGATTTTGAATTTTTTTTTCCAAAGCTGCATATGCCCTCCTTTGTATCTAATTGGTGGTATTTTTGTATATATTTTTAATTATAGTTTTATGGCTAAATATTGAAACTTGCTCTCTGAATAATTCAGTTACCAAAAATTTCCTAACCCCTTCACATATACAACTCACCTGTCCATATTTTATGCCATTTACCTTTATGACCCAAGATTAGAATGGGCTATGTAAAGAAGTCTTAGTTTTTGTTGTCTTAGCTCTTTAAAACACAGGTGAGGAAGGTAAGAGGCACCAAATGTTTCCTAGAAAATGAGGTCACAGCTTTTGCTAACATACCTAATATATTTCCTGTATTTGGACAAAGTGCTTAATCACCAACATACTATATATTTTACCTATTTATTTTGTTTATTTTCTGTGTCTGCTACTAGAATGTGAGCTCCACAAGGGCCTGGATTTTCATCTGTTTTGGTCACCGTTGTATTTCCAGAACCTATCATGTAGTAATAGCTCAATAAATGTTAACTGAATAAAAGGAAAGTCATCCAAGGTTTATTTGATCAGTTTAAGCTCAGGTATCTAGAGCAACTACAAGTAAGGAAGAGTGAATAAAAGGTAACTCATTTTTACTGAGTATTTTTGCTATGTATCCGATTATCTGTTGACTGTGTTCTGCTTGGATTGTTTCATATAAGTAACACAAAGCTCTGTGAATTAGATAATATCCTCGTTTACAGACAAAAAGACTAATGTTCAAAGAGTTAATTATCCTCCCCAAAGCTGCACAGTCAGCAAGTGGCAGAGCAGGATTGTCATGCTAGACATTTTGATTCCAGAGCCCTTCTTACTTTTTACTATTCTGTTTTTTTCAAAAGGCCAGAGAAGGATTTAATCACAACACAACCTGTTTCCACTTAAGCTGTACTGTAAGGGAATCACATATGTTCAAGTAGGGCTACATGGTATTCACCTTAGACTAAAATAAATAATTTTAGATGGCACCCATAGAAAGGATATAAGTCCCCAACTGCTCCTATGAGGAGTCCTGCCAGTAAGGAAACGGGTCTAGTGCTGGATCTGCCATTAATTATCTGTGACTTCTAGTAAATGGCAGCATTGGTGGGAAGGAAGAGACAGCAGTTAGGCTAGGTGACTGCCAAGGTCCCTGCCAACTCTAAAACTTTTTCTTTGTGAATGAGTGAAAGACATAACATGAGGCTTTGTTGATTTTCATGTTGGGAACTCAAATGTCTTTCCAAATTTTAATCTGCATTTCCATTCAACCTTACTGAAAGGTCCCTACCCATCAAAATAATAATAATAAGCAGTTCATCATTCTAAAGCAACCCTATGAAATTTTTACCAACTTTTTTCCAAAACTTATAATGGCTGGGCATTGAATATCTTACTCTTTCAGCCCATGGGCCTTATGTCAACAAAATACACGGCTAAATTTGTCTTCACAATGGCATTTTGCTTCCTTATTGGAAAATAAATGAACTTATCAACTACTTTGGAATGTAGCTATAGGACTGTTTGCAAATGAGCAAAATTAGGTCAAGTGTAGTTAGGAGAAGTAGCATGCTATATTCATTCATTCAACTCAACAAATACTAATTGAGTACTCATATATGTTAGGCACTACACTGTGTGCTAGAACACTAAAATTGGAGTCTTGAGACTAGTTTAACACTTAATGAGCTATCTCAGGCCAATTAACCTTTTTAAACCTCAGTTTTCTTATTTTTTTAAAAAAGTAATAATAATACCTACTTTAACCCCCAGAGTTATAAAAATTACACATGAACTGATATGCAATACCTTTGTAAATATGAAATGATATGAAACATCTTTGTAACTGTAGAGTACTATTTGGTGTTGGTAGTTTTCATCTTGGACTCCATGTGAAGGAATCTAATTAATGAGGTATCTTAGTCCTTGGGCGCCATTAGGCTGTTTCAAAATAAATATCATGAACATGAAACCTGATCGAATGATTTGCACAAAGCCCTTACTGAGTCAGTTGTAATTCTAGAAGAACTTAAGCTCTAATAATGATAAAAGTTAAATTTTAGTACATCTTGCTGATTTGGAAAAAATAATTTTTAAATCCTTATTATGCATTGTTAATATTTTAGCATTCTATTGTCCACTCATTGTCCTTCTTTTGTGCAAGAATTTAAGCAAATATTTATGCAGTTACGTAGTCCTTATTTGTTTTTAATTACTTCTGCTAGCACATTATATTAAATTTATTTGAATGTGTTAAGTAGAAGATGCTTTTTCAGTAAGTCAGAGGTAGAAATTCTCAGTTCTACATGGCAGTATTAACAGTAATAATGTTCTGTAACAATGTAAGGTTTGAATGTAGTTTTTAAAAAGTGCTCTAGGCTGCCAGTGTGGCAGGTTGCAATTTTTTTATCTTCCCCTAGCAAAGGTTAAGTATCAGCCAAACCTTGTACACTAGAGCAAGCGTTTTTCTGGTTCTATCAGCTGTAATTCCTGGCATCCTTTGTTTCAATGATAATGTACTCTGAGACCACACCTTGCCCAATCTGGTAGAAGGAATCTCCTACAAACAGATGCAAGTATTTCTATGTGAACTCTGCTAGTTGAGCATACCACTGCAGTTGATGTACAGCAAATTATGGATTACTTGTTTCTAATAAAATTGCTTGTTTCCTTATAGTAAAGCCTTGGGGATAAATACTTCCAATCTGGGTTTCCTCTGATCCTCTCCATCTACGAGCAGGAACAATCATTGCCATCGCAGAGTTGAACTTTGCTTTTGACATTAGCATTTTTTCCTAAATGAAGGAGACAGGAACTCCATTAACTATGTCTGCCTCAGTTCCATGCCTCTAATGAAGTGAAAATAAGAAGTGTTAGAGAGAGAACGAGTTGATACCAGGGCAAGGTAGCCAGAGGATCATTGTAAAATGTGTCACCAGGCATGTATTGAGAGTCTGTGGATATGACATATGGTGGTGTATCATGACATATGCATGTGTACCCATGATTGTGGGTGAGGGTGAGTGTTGAGCAGACAAGATGCCATTAGCTTAGGAAAAAGAAACTGGACTTACACAGCATGGCTTGAAAGCAATTTTTAAAACAAAAAAGAACACAGGTAGAGCATAGAATGGGCAGGCAGTATAGGAAAAAATTAATAGTGTTGGCATGGTCACAAGGAATACTTTGTTAATGATACTATCTCAGACATTTTTCCTAGGAAAATGTCTGATTTAGGAATGTCTAATTTAGAAATCCTGGACTGTTATTCTATGCCCTTCCACCTCATTCAGCTTAAATGTTCTTCCAGACTTGGTAACTGTTTTTCCTTTATTCTTGGCATTATTTGTTGAAAGAACATTTCTGAAAATATGGAAAAGCAGTTTTGAACTTCAAAAGCTGCCTTGAAACCATCACTGTGATGGTGTTTTAGTCTGTTCAGGCTGCTCTAACAAAATATGAGTAATTTATAAACAAAAATTTATTGCATATAGTTTAGAAACTGAGAAGTCAAAGATCAAAGTGCCAGCAGATCTGGTATTTGGTGAGGGCTTTCTGCTTCATATATGGTACCTTGTATGTGTCCTCACATGGTGGAAGGACAAACAAACACCCTGAGGCCCCTTTCATAAGGACACTAATTCCGTTCATGGGAGATGTCAACCTAATACCCTCTCAAACCCCACGTCTTAAGAACACCACCCTTGGGGGTTAGGTTTCCACCTATGAATGTTGGGTAGCAGGGAACATAAACATTCAGACCATAGTTAAGTGGAATAGACAGCATTTTACCAGGAAGTGTGATATCTCCATGAATTGTGATATTAATGGCTTATACACTAAGGAAGATCCCAGGATTCAGAAAATTGAGTTGAGAAATGAATCTGGATCTGGATATAATAGCTATAACAGGAAGCTTGTTATAAATTGACATGAATTCTAAAGGTGAGATCACCTTTTTAGTGGTAGGGGACAAAGACTATATTTTTGTGCAGAGGCCCTACTACATTAAGTAATGGGAAGGAAGAGAAGGGAAAAAGCTTTAAAGAAAAAACAAAGAGAAGCCTTTTAGGTGAAAGCAATGGAACAACTGAAGTCTGGCATATGCATTGAGAGGGAACAAGAGATTGTAGTGCAGTTGTCAGCTATCTCTTACAATGTTCAGGGCTCCTACAAAGATTAGTAACATCTTTGGGTGCCCAAGACGAGGGAAATAATGGAGTGTCAGGAGAGGATGCTAACAATGTTCCCAGTGCCAAAGTTTAGATATCACTTTTGCCCCTATTTCCTGTAAACAAGGACTTAGAGACAAACTGCAATTCTGTGGCAGTTCTGTGTTTAAGACACTAAATATAAGTTAGAATGATGGGTCTAAGCAAGAAGGTTAGAGGTTTGAGGTTTAAGTCAAGTCTCGGTTGTTCAAGAGTT